GCACATTATACTTTCACGTGATTTCTGTGCGGTTGGTCTCTACGTGACATACTTAGTGGAGACCTCATAGAAAGCGGTGAGTGTGCAAAGCTGTGTTCAAAGTGATTAAAATCTTGGTTTGGGGTTTCTTTGTTTGGTTATGGAGGCGTCTGGCCCAGTGAGTTGCTATCAACTTGACCTTTCCAGGCTCTGAAGAAGGCGAAATTCGCCGAAACGTCAGCTTAATCGTGAACAAAGAACAATAACACCTCGCGTTTGCTCCAAAAAAATACGGAGTAAATAGAAGGTTTTGCCTAACCGGTGTCGCTGTTGTCCCAAAATTCTGCACGGAATCAGACTATCTCCCCTTTCGTGCAAGATTTCTTTCATCGCGTAAAAGAGAAAAAGCCGTTAAATTCAGAAAACGAATGCCCAAAACGGCATACATAAACCGTGACTTATTAAATTCACTAGGTGGCTGTTGGGAAGATGCCGTTCTCGATTACATCGACGATGAATACGATCAGCTCATTCAACATCTTCACGTTGGCGCTATGAAAGCTGAGAGTTCGAAAGTCACCAAGAGACGTCTCTCTCTAGAAACACTCGAGTTGATACGCCAGCGTGGAAACGCTCGAGCTGCAAGCAACCGCGAGCTGACGTTCGAACTTGCAAAACAATGCAGAGAGGCGATAAAAGAAGATCTTAGAGAGAGAAAAGCAACAGCAATGGCCGAAGCTGCAGAGGCTGGGAAAAGCACTCGCAAAGCCCATCGAAAGTTCGCCAATTACAAGACCAAGATGGTTGCACTCTGAAGCCCAGACGAAACAGTAACAGCGTCCAGAAAGGCAATGGAGAAGATCATTCACGAATACTACTTAGGTCTCTTCGATAGCAACGTCCACCTTCCATCATATGAAATAAGAGAGGACGGATATGTTGTAGCACCGGTTCGCCCTTCCGAAATCCGAAATACCACTTTGTCGGTGAAAAATCGAACACCACCAGGCCCAGACAGGATAAGACCAGAACACTTGAAGAACCCTCCGCCACTCCTCGCAAACACACTGGCTCGCCTCTTCACACATTACCTATCTGAATGCAAGATCCCTAGTCAGTGGAAGACCGGCACGACTGTGTTATTGCTCAAGAAGGGTGACCTGCACGATATCGTCAACTATCGCCCAATCCGCTTGCTGTCCGTCGTCTACAAACCTTTCACTCGAGTCATCTTAAACAGGATTGACAGAACACTAGACGAAGGAGAGCCATGTGAGCAAGCAGGGTTTCGAAGAGGATTTAGTACGATAGACCACATCCACACGGTAACACGGCTCATTGAAGTTTCGCGAGAGTACAAAAGACCGCGCTGTCTCACTTTCATCGATTTAGAGAAGGCCTTTGATTCCATTGAGATAGAAGCAGTCGTGGAAGTCCTTGATAGTCAAGGAGCCCCTACTCATTACATAAAGATTCTTCGTGAGCTGTACAAAAATTTCACAACCAAGATATCACCATTCTACAACGATATTAACATCGACGTCAAACGAGGAGATAGGTAAGGCGATACCATCTCGCCAAAATTATTTACCACCACCCTCCAGAACGCCATGCGAACATTGTAATGGGATAATATGGGAGTGAAAATCGACGGTCGACAGTTACACCTTCTTCGCTTCGCCGATGACATCGTCCTTATAAAACCAAACATTAGCCAAGCGGAACGTATGCTTGACGACTTTGATAAAGCCTGTGGAAAGGTTGGTCTTGGACTAAATCTCATAAAAATGATGTTCATGAGGAACGGATTGGTTTCGCATGCCCCATTCACGCTCTACGGAACGAATATCTCCGTATGCTCCAGTTATATCTATCTATGTCGGGAAATCAATGTGATGGACGACCTAGCTCCAGAGCTGAGCGGAAGAAAACGAGCGGCTTGAGGAGCTTTCAAGGGCATCGAGGATGTAGTGAAGATGGCAAAGAACACCCGACTTCCTGCCCACCTTTTCGACTCAACGGCACTTTCTGCCCTAATGTATGCGTCAGAAAGCTGGTAGCTGCGTAAGCAGGATGAAAGATCACTGAGCGTTATCAAACGCGCAGTCAAAAGGACGATGCTATGAGTATCCGGTTCCACACAAGTAAGGGATGGGATCCGAAGCTCCGACCTGCGTCAACGATCAAAAATCAACGATGCCGTTCTCTACGGCAAACAGTCGAAGATAAGGTGGGCCAGACACGTAATGCGTTTGAATGACAACCGATGAACAAGAGCCGTCAGTGACTGGATTCCCCAGGATGTTAAACGAACTGCAGGAAGACCACCGACTCGATGGTCAGAGTTTTTCACAAAGAGTCTAGAAGAAAGATATGATGCTCAACGAGTCCCTAGAGCAAGCAGAACCTACTGGGCCACTCTTGCACGCGACGGAGAAAAATGGAAGATTTACTGGCACCCGCTCGAGTCACTCGACTATCAACGGGACTACAGGTGTTACAGGTGATGGATAAATAATGGTTTCTATTCTCATCGTAAAATACGAGAAGCAAGAACTGTAAAGAGCGCACCTGCAGCTGCCCACATTCCCTGAACTGGGTCACTGATGGTTTTACACAGAACGAAACCGGCGTATTCATAGACGTCGTAGAGACTACGACACGGAAATATGTTCGCCGTGAGCTCATGCTGAAAGGAAAACAACAATTCGAATGAAATCTAGATCGGTGCTGTTTAGGAAAATAGAGTTTGTTTTGGCTAGTGAAACTTCTAACGAAATCTACATTGGAATATTTTGTAATTACTTACTTGGTACTTGAATGGCTTATCCTCACTGGTTGTGCGGACTCCAGCATAACGTTCATTTTTTCGGAGACTTGCTGGTTAAGCTGTTGTGGTTCCATGGAATCCCGAGGTGAGCCTGGCTAAAGTCTACCCCAGGTCTTCCTCACCACAGGCAGTCACAACCCTTGTGAATAAGAGGTACATTTGCTACCATGTGACTTTGATACCACGGCGGTGGTGGGTCCTGGTATTAGTTCATTCTTGGCTAGGCTTCCTTATAGAAACACCTGACTCCTTGTCAGCTTGGGAGACCTGCCAGGGAATGAATCCCACACTGTACATCGCAGTTCGACACCCAGGAACACCTTCCAACTGCGATAAGGCGGTGGACCGTTGGGAGGAAGAATATTTTGTAGGTTTTATAAAGTTAGTAAGGCTCATGAAGAAATTGGGAATGTGATTAGAGGTCCTCTCATAAAAGCAGAGAATATGGAGCGAAGTTTGCGATACAATGGTTTGGCAAAACTGCGATTGCTGTTGGCATATGTACAAGCACAGAACATAATATTGTTATGAATGAATGAATGATCTGAATAACTGTACTTTACTTAAACATTACGATCTCGAGTACTTTACCCGTTGCGCCCCCGTTACTATCGCCCTTTCTTTCTCCGTTCTCTTCCGCCTTCTCTTCTTGGTGTCGCTCAACCACCCGTTTATAGCTGTTTATTAATCTACTTCATCATGTGATAGCTTTATAGACTAACCGTGTACTGATCACTGGCGTTTATCAAAACCATTTCAATCAAGTCAGATGCACGAGTGTGAAGATTGGTGATTTTTTCAATGACTTCTTCGTTTTTCAGTGTGGGATCAACTGCCAGTGAGTTATTGAGGCCCTTAATATCGGAGCTCAAGCCTTCTAAAGATCTAAAAATAGAGCAATAAGACCTGTATATATTTAACAATCGTTTTTGGATTATATAAACATCTCACAATACGGATGTACTGTTTTATCATGAAATTCGTCGATGACTTACCCACTTAATGACTCTAGGTGTTGCACAGTTTCACGAGTAGCGTCAGAATCGACACTAACACATTCTGATAGCAAAGTGCTTGTTATATCCTTACGAAACCCCAAAGATGAAATCAGATAATCATCGAGTCGTTCCTAAAATATCTTCTATTTCTTTTTTCCCTTAAATTTATTGACGTTAGAGGAACGAGTGCTCGAACAGACTGGTAGGAATCTCGCTGGACCTAGGATCTGAACGACTTTAATCAAATCGTTTTCATGAAGTAGTTCTTCCAAATTTCTACCATTTTGTCATCGTCATCATGTTTGGACCTACTAATCCGATGCTGTATGAATCAGAATTGAATGAGAACAGAGTTACTGGCCTCAGATTTCCGATTATTGTTGTTCAACCGGCGATATTGGCATCCCGGCAAACACTTGCGATTTGCCACCCTCCCACAAACTATCTAGATACTCTTTAACAAAAAACCTCACCTGAATTTTTGTGGGTTCTTTCATATATTGGGTCATTTGCTGCTTTAGGGAATTGACAGTCGCCGCCAACTTATCCTTTAATGGTGCGATACCATGCTGCCTAACCAGCGACCTCATGTTCAGTACCGTATGGCCATTAATGGCAACGAAGATAGTTTGATTGTCACGGCATCGTTGTAATAGATGACTAAACAAATGTTTTACTATGCCATTTACCTCATAACATGTGATAATGGACAGCTCAGTGATAGTTAGGCCATTCATCACGTGGATAGCCTCACTTAGTCAGGTGCTGGTTTGATCCCGCGCCAAGTCCACCAAGCTTCTCATCCCTTTGAGGTTGGGAAATTGGCACCAGACAAGGTCAGTATATCTATTCAGGTGGGCACATCCCATCACGGATATCTTATAATTACAGCGAGAATTAACTCGACTAGCTGGCGGTGGGCAACTCATATTCGAGTGATCATGGTGAGAACTGTTTCAAAAAGAAAAATACAGTCTAAGCTATCATAGATCGCACTTAAGCGTCGGCAAAATTTTCCACCTGCGACACTGGGATCAGAATTTGGCAAATTCTAGTTTTCTAGTATTCCTTTTTTCTAGTATTCTAGTATTCCTAGTTGCTGCATAAATGTACTAGAGCACTCATTTTTCCCACAACTGTTTTCCCTGTCTAATGTCGTTTGAAATGGAAATCAAATCTGATGACTACCGCAGAAAATAGCGTGGTAATCCAGAGACAACTATTCCCATAAATACGCCAGCAGAAGTGAATGGTATAACTTTGTAATCTTGTTGATCATCGGCTAGTTGGATCGAACACCAATAGTGCTTCCTTCGTGAAAACGAACAGTATTACACTTTTTGTATAGGGCAGTCTACATTCATTGTGGTAGACATGAAAAAGAATGGAGCAATACTTAGTTGCTCTTCCGAATGAAGATGTTTAAGTTATCAGCTTGTGTAACCCTGTTGTAGTGATCCTTGTAGTGACAGCTCAGCAACATTTCTTGCTGTTATGGCATTCAGGGCGCGTGTGGCGCAGTGGTCGCAGATGCCCTGCAGCACAGGCATGAAATTGATCCCCGCGCACATGGTCCACCAAGCCTTCCATCTCTCCAGGGTCGGCAAATTGCTACTAGACTGGTCTGGGAGGATACCAGCGCTGGCTCGATACATCGGTAGGCCACCGCGAGTCATTGTAAAGGCCTGATATGCATTCAATCATGTCCAAACGAATCTTAATGAAGTCGAATGCATGGTGCATTGATTAGGGATTGATCAACGTCCAGAGTTTTATCCTTTTTTAAAATCCTTTCACCGTTTCAACTGAGGCGTGCTTAAAGAAAAGCGATCGGATTCATTAAATTGAGCGCAATCGATTCGAAGAAGTGACGATGTGAATGAACAACACTCATTGTATATCTATTTCAGTCTCTTCTTTTAGTTAACTTTAGATTACCTCATTTTTTGTTAAAATATAGACTCACTCGATGGAGACGTTGACGCTGTACTCTTCCGGTAAATCCACAGTTCTGATAAGACTACTGTATATCGAAAATGTTGGATCGTCAAACAACGGCCGACATATGGTTGACATACCCCAACCGCCCACATATTCCAGGCTAAGAGCACGTTCAGTAGATCGAGCAATGCTTTGTAAATATCGAGTAAAAAATATAACATCCAACCAACTCAGACCAATCATTATCCACACGAGAAAGATGGTCACGTAGAAACCGAGCATCGGTGGAATACTGGAGAATTTCTCGATGGTGCTTTGATTCCTTTCTAGACATTCCTTGTTACTCATTAAAGTGTAAAGCTGCAAAACTCACCTCCAAGTGCAGATTCTTTTCCGAAGACAGTAAAAATTAGTAATAATGCCGTCAGAAACGCGAAAATCAATGTAAGTGTTCCTGGTACGGAGATTAAGGAATTCAGAGACGTTTCTGTCAACGTGTAAGCTCGCGACTGGAAACACTGATGTCAGAATATAAGATACTTGTATATAATGTTGAGATATTTGCAAAACTCCGGACCGCAGGTGTATGCGGTGGGGAACGAACGCACTATTGTTCTTACCGGGGAGTAGCGCACTTCACCACCACACTATCCGGGTCCTTCGTTTTGCCTGTCTCTCAGCTAGTTCTATTGATCTTTTGCCATCACCAATCACCCATTAAAAAGAAAAAAGCAGTGAATAAAAAGGTTAGATAAGACACTTGATTTAAATTACTATGGGTAAAGCAAACACTGCTCCAGGACGAAATCCCTCAAGTGCCAACGATACTTTTGCTAAGCTTTTCCTAGTCTTTTACAAAATTGAGTGTAACTTCTTGCAGAAGGTCGCGTGGGGCGCAGTGCTCGGAGGCGCCATGCACATGAGATCGATTCCCGCGGCCACGGCCCAATTTTTCATCCCTCTGGGGTCGACAAATTGCTACCAGACTTGTCTGGGAGGATAGTAGCACTGGCTCTATACGTCAATAGGCCACCGCGAGTCATTGTAGAGGTCAGATATGCATTCAATCACCTTCAAAAGAACTTAGTGAAGTTGAATGCATGATACATCCCTAAGGGATTGACTAAAGCCGAGAGCTTTCTCCTCTATCCTTCATCTTATTGCACTCACGGTGATTCTAGATAACTAGGAAAACTGGGAAACCAGAGAGAAGGAAACTGAGGTTCTCCTGTTCTTGGTTTCCGAGCCTTCAAAGGAAATACGTGATATCATGATAATAGTACGAACAAGCACACGGTATGTGCAGACTGCCATACATTGCGGCTCGATACCCAGAAACATCCTCTAGTCATTATTAGGTAGTAAGTGAATATATGGGAACAAAATTATGAGTAAAATGTTTAACGTTTTGTTTTCTGCCTTCTATAATTTTCATGGCAGGTTACTAAGTAAGCGAAATACAACCACAACGTTGCTGAGATATTTGCAAAACTCTGGACCGCAGGTGTCTATGGTGGGGAACGAACGCGCTATTGTCCTTTCCGGGGAGTAACGCGTTCACCACCACACCATGCGGGTCCTTTGTTTCGCTGTGGGTGATTGCTGTGGCAAAAAGATCGATAGAAATAGCTGAGAGACGTGCGAAA